ATTTTAAGTTATACTTAAGACGCATCACCATTGTTCGAAAAATTCTGGCTGGCCACTGGTCCAATTAGTCTCTAGGCATTTGAAAATTAAAAAAGTGCACCTACACTCGCTTAGGCTTTGCCTAGCCCCCCTATGTCACAATTTTAACTTAGACAGAAAATCAATAACTTTCATTTTGCATTTTAATTTTTTCAATAAAATGTAAGAGACATGTTGAATTTTTGGATAAACACTCATTACATACTTGTTCCCCATGTTTTCAACATGTTCTAATACTTTATAATTTATATGTTTTTTTTTTGGGGAACTTTAACGAAAAGCTCCCAGTAATGTTCACTTTAACGAAAAACCACATTTTTACACTAAGGGTGCGTTTGTTGCACCAGACTATCTCGGACTGGACTATCTTCAGGGATTAAGTTGGACCGGTTTAGACTAGACTAAGCTGAACTAACCTAGTGAAACGTTTGGAGCAATGTCGGACTAAAAAACAGGATAATTAACAAATACAATATTATATTATTTAATGCTTGTCCAATAATATTTTACTATTCATTCAACGTTTTTCATTTTTTTCTCCCAAAAAACTAACGTTTTCTGGAAACATCTCTCCTATTCTACTTCTGACTTGAAAATAATTAATAAAAAAAAAATGCCTTCCTCCTTGTCTCTCTCGTTTGGTTCCGTCCCCATTCTCTTCATTTTCTACCTTTTATTCCTGGAGATCGCAAATCCTTTCCATCTCTTCCTTTGACCTATGTAATCTATACAACCATCATCTCTATCAATAATTTGATTGACTCCATTGATTGGGTATTTCTTGAATTTTTTTTGCCGGCCATTTGGTCAAAAGTGTTGATCAAACAGAATGAAGCTTTGAGCTTCATCTGAAACAAAGAAAAGAGTTCTTTAGAGATAGGTAGAAGAAGAAGGCAAAGCTCATGGATTTTCTGGGAATTTTCTGTCTGTCCCTAAAGCTAGCTGTCTTAGAATTTTGTGGGAAAAAGGAAGAACAAGCACCGCCAATTGCCTGGCCACAGTGACGCCAAAGAAGAAGAAGGCAAAGCCCAGGGATTGGTGTTGGGGTTTAGCAAGAAAGCTTGGCTCTGGATCTCGGCCTCGTCTCCTTTTTAGTCCCCCTTAATACCAAGGTAAATCAAGGGACTAGATAGCGTGGTTTAGTGAAGGAGACAGATCCTCCTAGCCTGGTTTGGTACTAAGGTGATTCTGAAAAAAGTTGGCATCTTTTTTGTGTCTGGTAAACATTCAGTTTCAGCTTTTTTTTCACAGTTTTGGGTGAAAAAAAGCAAAAAACATGAAGCTACAAAACCCAGCTTTGAAAAACCAGTTTTTTTTTCACATCTGTTTTACATAAAAGTTTACCAAACACTATAATACTGTTTTTTTTTTCAAAAGCACTTTTACAAAAAAGTTTACCAAACACTCTGCTGCTTTATTTCACAGCTGCTTATTCTCACAGTACAGCAGAAGCAGCTTTTTCAAAGCACAACAATACCAAACCAGCCCCTAGTCGAGGCGAGTCTCATTAATTGTAGTCCAATACCATTCCAAACATAGAATTAGAATCCCACTTAAGCCAGTCCAAGCTAGTCCCTCTTGAGGAGGTGTAACAAACGTTCCCTAAAAAATCAATCATGGTACTATTCACTTTACCCTTTACTTTGTCTTTATAGTTAAAATTCAAAGTTTTCAAGCCTTTTTCATTATTGTTATTATTATTATTACTTGCAATTTATGTATCATAATATAGTTATATGTGTTTTTCAAGTATAAATAAACACTTATTTATACAATATATATAAATTTATTTAAATCCGTCTAAATCTCCGTTTAAGCCATGTCTAACCGCCTAAACGCTAAACTCTAACCTGCCGCTCGACTAATGCCTAGCATTTTTTAGAACCTTGTGCACCATTCTGGTTAGGGTTGGAAATCTTTTCAAAATCCAGTGGAGGTTGAGTTTTCATGAACCGTTGTAATTACTAATTGGACTTAATGCATAGCTAAACGAATTTTGGGAAATTTGGAAAAAGTATGGAATTATGGAAATTGACTAAGGTCAAAGTTAGAAAAAGGAAAAAGAAAGGACAACCCGACCCAAAACGTTGTCGGTTCCGCTCCCACGCCTTTGCCGACATGATCATATCTCAACAGTGCATACGTGGCATCTCCGTGTCAGTTAATCTACATGTCGGCACGAACTATAGCATTTACACAAAACGCACACTCACCGTCGGATCCAGCTGTCTACTAAACCAACGGCTAATAATACTCGTGTCCACTGAGCTCCCTCTTCCCTAATATAAATGATGGACACCGCTGGACGTGATGTTGCGTATTGCGATTAACTCTTTGAGTGTTATCCGTTAAAGATATTTTTTTCAGAAGAAATAATGGGAGCAACGATGGAGGAGCAGCGGAGGAAGGAGGAGGCAGAACCGTCTCTGCCGGTGGAGCGGCCTCTAGAGGTTGAGCCTCCGCTGGCTTCGGCCCCTAGCGACGTCGCGGTTGAGGAGAAGGCGGCTGTGGTTCCGCGGAGTGATGTGGATGTTAAGGGCGGTGATGATGTCAAGGCTCTCGCCGTAGTTAACAGTAAGTGAAGTCTCTGCGTTTCTCTCCTTAGTTAAAGCAGTGAACAGTAAAAAGGTACAAACTTTTGTAGTGCATTTGCGGTGAAATGTTTTTACTTTTTTAACAGAGGTTCCGGAAACTCTGGTGAAAAAGGCATCAGGAGGATCAATTGACAGAGGTGAGTAATTGATGTTAATTTGAATTAGTGAAATGATGTTCGATCTGAAGTTTGATTATGTCCTCGACTTGTATTATAACACTTGAATTAGTGACAACTAAAAATTTCTTGTCAATTTGTTTTAAATTTCAGATATAGCACTTGCAGGACTGGAGAAAGAAAAGAGTATGTCTTTTATCAGGGCATGGGAAGAAAGTGAAAAAACTAAGGCAGAGAACAAGTAAGGGCTAATTTCTCAATCATGGGGTGTGAGGGAAATAAAAATGGATGCACGGATAGCACTGCTTTCTTTGTTAATGATTTTTTAATATGTGTTAATGTCTTTCTACCCACAATATATGTATGCCATGATTTTGGATTCCTATAAGTCAAGTGGGATAATTGGATTTAGAATATGGTTGAATTGTACTAATTAATTTGAGGAAAATAAATAAAAACTGTCTTTCTTCTAAATTATTCTAAATTAGAGTAGTTTAGAATAGAATATTGTCTTGAAAAATACAGGAAGTAAATTCTTTATTCTTTATATAAAAAGACATTGGGCCACTTAGTACTATGATTTAGAGGTATTTCTTTTCACTGGTAAGAGAGGTTTTAGATTCGATTCTCACCAAAGTCGAAGTTGAAAGGTCTTAGGTTCGATTCTCAGGCGAAGTTGAACCACATTAAAACAAAAAAACCATTGAGTCAATGCTTCTTCGAAAGAAGAGCTGCATCTTGTGATAAGTTTGATGATGTTGTTTTGTGGGTGATCCTTTTCTTCCAATGGCTTATAAAACTGTGAATACAGGGCCCAAAAGAAGCTTTCTGATGTTACTGCATGGGAAAGCAGCAGGAAAGCAGCTGTGGAAGCCAAACTCAGAAGCATCGAGGTAGAACATTTGTTTTTACACTTTGTTCTAGGTATATCGGTGGAATGTTGGATTTTATGGTCCATCCAACACCCCATTTTTAATATTATTTCATGATTAGAATGCTGGAACGTGGGATGGTGGGCTATTTTTTTGATTTCCTCAGGACAATTTCTTAACCTGAAAATTATACACTTAAAATTAAGTTCTGTTTTGCAAGTTCGGATCCCGCTCTCCGTAGTTTTATAAAAAAATGAGCAAGAAGCACTTTCTCTTTACTCCATGAAACAAGGCATTTCAGTTTAATTCAACTTTACTAATGTCAAGTCAATTGTTATTCAGGAACAATTGGAGAAGAAAAAGGCACAGTATGCAGAAAAAATGAAAAACAAGGTTGCCTTACTTCAGAAACAAGCAGATGAAAAGAGAGCAATGGTTTTAGCCCAGAAAGGGGAAGAACTTCTCAAGGCTGAAGAGACCGCTGCTAAGTACCGTGCGACCGGAAGCATTCCAAAGAAGTTCCTCGGTTGCTTTTGAAGTAGTGCTTTGAACCGGTTTGAAAACAATCTATGTAACTTCTGGGTTTTGTCATGTGTATATCTTTCTTGTTTGCTCTTTTTGCATTTTGGGGTTCGAGTTGATTTGTTCATTGTGTTCTTTAAATTATGTGAAGACCGATACAAAATCAGCAACTGTTCTTTCTCGTCTATGTGTGTATAGGAAGTCTATTTGACTTGTGAATTCCAAGTTGGTTATTTGTTTCAGGAAGCTTTTTCTAGTAATGGGATAATTCTACACTATTCATCTTTCATATTCCTACCTTGTATTCTCTTCATATTTTATAAGATCTTTGTTTCGCTCTCGGCAATGCTGATTGTTTACGGATCTTTGATTTTCTTGCGCGGTAAGTTGGAAAATTTACATTCATCCCTAAAACTGTTTATGAACTGTGTTTTTCTTAAAACTTAACCACTGGATTCTGCAGTTTACACTGAGTTGCCAACAGACCAGGTCAGAATCTTAGTTGGCCAACACCAAGTGAGAAATAACAAGCTTGTAAAAGGAATCATAAGAATTTAAAGCTGAGTACATGGTGAAAAAACTTGCTTACATCTTTTCATGCGATGAATCTCACATGTCCGCGTAGGCAAAGGAACGAGTCTCACACATGCTCTACCGTGTGAGTGGCATGTGAGCTTATGTGCAAGAGTCACGAGTGTAAGCAAGTTTTTCTCGAGCACTAGGTGTGCTCTTAGACCATTGAATGGTATGATGATGTTGTAGATTACAGAATAACCAAAAAAACATGGAACTTTGTACATATTAGCATCTAAATTACATATGCCATTACAGACAAAGTAAGCAAGATTTAACTAGTTAATTTATGTCTCAAACGACTGAGGAATCTCTATGTACTATATATACTGGATCCTGAACAAACTAGGTTTGTTGTGGAAACCCTACTAAGTGGTAACAGCACTGCCGCTAACTGTAAGCCAAAAATTAAGCACAGGACCCTTCATCTTAGCTCTCTAACTAAATCGACGGCTTATACAAAACCACCACCAAAAATTCGAGCAGCAGATTCGAATACAAAAGAAGTTTCGACGCCGGATTCAGAGGGGGCAAATGAAAGAATTGGGCGCCAACCTCGCAGGGGTTGTTGCTTAGTCATCCGCATTGTTTTCTAAGAAGCTCATGTCATCGTTAATTGGGTAATCCAGCAGCAGCTGTAGTGCAGTATCGGATGAGTTCTCCAAATCATTTGAGCACGAGGAGACAGACCCCGCCATCCTGTCTTCAGTGTTAGACTGGCAGATCTTGAATTCCCCCGCTTCGGTGTTGGACTGGAAGAGTTTGTGCCCTTCCTCTTCAGTGTTGAACTGGAAGGGTTTATATTCTACATCTTCAGTGTTGATCAAGAAAGGTCTGTATGCCAAATCTTCATTTTGATTGCCTGCCATGGTTGATGACCCTGTTAAGTTGTTGCCAACTTCTGTTGTCACGGCTGACAGCAATCCACATTTGGTCGACGAAGATGCCTGAGAAATGGGGCTTTGGCACGCAAATTTATCCGACGTAAGCTTTCTGAATGATTTTCCAACATTGGAGTTCCACAAGCGCAGAAAATGGTCAGACTCAGATTTCTCTGGAGCATGGCTGAAGATTGATGACTCCCTGGAAAGCCTAGCCTCAGCTTCAAGCCTGGCACTCTCCCATTGTGCCATGTGACGGGTGGCCGCGGAAGCAGATGCATTGTGATTTAAGCAGTTAGAGGCAAGAAGCTCATGTGTTTGTGGATCAATCCCCATGGCGATAAGGCGCTTCCTCAGGTGCGTGTTCCATAAGTTCTTGATCTCATTGTCAGTTCTTCCAGGCAACTGAGAAGCTATAGTAGCCCACCTGAAAATTGTTCGATACAAGTGAAAAGAGAGTTAGAAACAGGACAAAGTTTCTACAACAGATTAACTGCATATAAGACATTTTCCAATCAGATCATAAGTTGTAAAACTTCCCAGTGTTTTTCATCCAATAAGATTATAAAACCACAAGCATCAATTGATCGAATCCGGGCCAATTCATTGGCAAATGATAAATCTACCGTTTTTCATCTGTTTACAGAAGTAAAGCAGGTTTAATTTTCTTTGTGGACTTAATGTCCCGTGTGGTTTAACACAGTTAATAAAGAGTGAGTCAGTTTTAAATCTCCGAAAACAGTGTCTCACGGCTAAAAAGCAAGCACAGAAGCATAATATACCACCTGTTTCCGAGCATGCCATGAAGCTGTATGATGAGTTGCTCTTCGTCCTTGTTGAAGGGGCCTCGTTTGATTTCCGGCCTGAGATAATTTATCCACCTTAGCCGGCAGCTCTTCCCACAGCGTTGAAGACCTATTGAAAAAAGAAAACCATGGTAGACTGGGTAACATGAATTTTCCCACTTCCTAGGATGTTTAAAGCATAATATCCAAGAAAAATTAGCATTCTAATACACTTTTTTTTTTTTCTGCAAACCATACAAAATGTTAACAATGGCACGCTCCAAAACCACCAGACATTTTTCTCTCCTTATAGAAGGATTATATCTGTATTTTTTTTTCTCAATAGTGTTAAAAAGGGGGGAAATGTTCAGATTCAGCATGTAAGAGGAAAATAAGCACAATTTTAACTCGTGAGGAAAGGAAGAAAAGAACATGGATAAAAGTAAGAAAAATTTTGATTACAGATGCTACTAACTTATCACAGAGGAACAAAATTTCAATTAGCTCAAGAGGCGAAAAGGGTTGGGACCAGAATCTTAAAACCCATCCCTCACAGTCCCTCTAAACCTAAACAAATAAAGTATCTGGCTCAGTAGAGAGATTATACAGGAAGAAAAGAGAGGCACTATTTGCTTCACAAGAAAACAAAAGCACATTTCTTTGACTTGAGAAAGCAACAAAATCAAACAAAACCAACTATTGGCTTTTAGGTTTCAAAAAGGTAAAAAACTTTGCGCTCAAAAGGCAGTATATTTTTTAAAAGGATAACGTTAAGAAGAAAAAAAATTTAAACAAAATTTGCATATCAAATAGGATTTTATTACAAAAAATAAGTACATTAATCAACATTGATAATTTAATTATCAACAATCATATCAATTTCTTTTTTTTTTTTGGTAAACTCCATATCATTCGGTTTTGGTTTAAAATTTAGAAGAAAAGTAAGAAAAACCCAAATGAACCTGCAAGCTTGGGAAGAGAACGCCAGCTTCCGTGGCCATGGTTCTTGCTGATGTAGTTCAGAAGAAGCTCATCTTCCTCAGGCGACCATGGCCCTTTCTTCAAGTCCTTCTTGTTGTCACAACATGGAGTCCTTCCCATCTCTCACACCCTTTTAATTCCCAACCAGAGAGAGAGAGGGGTAGAGAGAGAAACAACCACCAACCACCACCGCCACCAGTGCGCCACTCACCGAACACCAACAATAAAGATCCCAAGAATAAGAAAAACCGAATTTAAAGCCTCCACAAAAGGCTTGATCTTTGACGTGAGAGAGAGAGAGAGAGAGAGAGAGAGAGAGAGAGAGAGAGTTAATGCTGGAGGGGTTTGGTCTCTATCTGGAGAAGGAGAAGGGGAAATGTGATGTTCTAATAAAAGTTTACAGAATTATGGATGGGGTCGTCTGAAAGGCAAGGGAAAGTACAAGCTCAGCGAGCTTCAAGCTGTCTTCGCATTAAATTCTTGGGGTTTGGTGGAGAGAGAGAAAAAGATGATCATTGATGGTGAGAGACATTGACATCAAACAGTGAAATTAAGCAGCAGAATGTAATGGTGGGATTTCTTTTTTTGAGGTTTGCATTTACACTTAACTGGAAAGAGAGAAAAGACTCGGCTTCTCTGTCCTCCTACTTCTTATACATTTTCATCTCTTTCTATTTTGTGCGGTTACGATTAAATCACGTTAATATTTTTTATTAATTTTTTATAAAAATAATAAAATATAAAATAATAATAATATAAAATGCTAATGTGACTTAATCGTGACCGTATAAATAAATGGGAATGATAGTATATAAGAAGTGGAAGGACGAAAAAGCCAGGTCCAGAGAGAAAGAGAAAAGCCAAATGCAGGGAAGATGGTGGTGAAAGCATTTATGTTGGATTCTCACACAGAAAGACAGTGTGTGATCCATTTGTTTTAGAGAGAGAGGACTTGGTCGGCATTAATGTCAAAGACATTGACATGCAGTCTGCAGAGTACGGACATGCATGATATGACTCCTGGATTTGCTTTTACCTCTACATTTTTTTTCTCAATTTATAAGAAATTTAAAAAAGAAAAAACAAACCCTTTAGGCGTCTTAGTGCAAATTGATGCCTAAGAGCATCTCCAAATAGAATAAGGATCATCCTTGGATTCTTTTTGTGAGGATTTAGAGATTAATTAATCGTGTTTATTTATTATACATCATGTTGTTAGTTTTCGTTAGATACTATTTGTATTCAATTTTAAAATTTAAAATTTAAATGATTTCTAATCGCACGATGTACGATGAACGAACACGATTGATTGATTCTCTGAATCCCTACAAAGAAGATCCAGAGAGGATCCTATTCCCTTCCAATGAGATGTCAAAAGGTCCACATCATCAATAACAATAAAAACACAGCACTATAATTTTTTAACCGAAATGTCAAATCATATGTGACATGACATAGAAAGACAACAGCAGGGGTTGTTGTAAAATTTGATAGCAACTTCAAATTATTTTTAATTAATTATTAATTAATTTTATTAAATTTTTTTTCCCTCTCCCGCTCTATCCATCTTTTTGCCGAACCAAGACCAAGCTCACAAATTGCAATCACAAAGAAAATCTTGATTTTCCATCTATCACACTCTGTGGAACAATTTCGACTAAAATTCTTCACTTTCGAAAAACCTCCAAACCGAAAAAACCCAGAGTTGACTTTTGGTCAACATGAACCGTTCATACAACTAAAATTAGTGTTACTAAAGACTTAGTGAGGCTTAGCGGTCTTGTCTCGGTGAGTAACTCTAATATATGTGATATGGTTATTACCTTGTTTTTTTTTATGTTAGTATCCTTTGTGGATATGACTCGATTTTATAAATGTGTTTTCTGTTAAAAATGTGATTATTTTATAATTGGCCATCGATCTATTTTTATTAAATCTGATTTGACTCATGGATTGGAAATATTTGTGAAAAAAGTGATTTGAAATGCATATTGAAAAGTTTGTTAAACCTGAGGGTTAGTAGGGGACCATTACCCTAGTGTCACGGGGTTAAATGACATCGAGTCTGCACCATGTAGCAGTGGTACATGGATGGTCCTTCTTAGTTAATCCGCGTTGGGGGATCATACTATTTATGGATCGCGCTTGGTTAATCCGCATTGGGCGATCCTTATGGCCATTTATACTTAGGGGTGATCACGCATTGAGTGATCACTGCTTAACAGTTCTATAGGTGTGATCATGCTTGGTTAATCCACGTTGGGGGGTCACTACCTACTTAGTTATCTTGACCCTGCTTTGTTAATCCGCGTTGGGGGACCATACTATATATGGGTCGCGCTTGGTTAATCCACGTTGGGTGATCTTTATGGTCATGTATGCTTAGGAGTGATCATGCTTGGTTAATCCGCATTGGGTGATCACTTTCTAACAGCTGTAGGAGTGACTCTGCTTGGTTAATCCGCATTGGAGGGTCACTACCTACTTGGTTACTTTCTCAGGGGTGGCTTTGCTTGGTTAATCGGCTTTGGGGGGCCACTTCCTGTTTTGTTACTTAAGTAGGCTTCGGCCGAACTGCGTCCCTCTAACCCTAGTTTTTAATGTATATATGAAAAATGGTTTTTAAGAATCTTGTGATTTGAATTAGAAAAATCGTTGGATGTCTAGGTGACTCCTACGGAGTTTTCAGTGACTTGATTATGATTCCATAAAGCATGATTCTATACTTGATGTTCATAGATTGTGATCGATGATCTGTTTTAATTGAATATCACATACTTGTATTATTGTCACTCACCTGAGCTTCTCAGCTTATCCGAGTGTATGATTTGCCTAGTGCGCATATCCTTGATGTAGGCATGATTGTACATATGACAGGTCTTGGTCAATTACGAGAAGCAGCCTGGTATTTTAGTTCCATTAAGTGGTCCGGAACCTGAGATTGTTGGATTCCGTTGAGTGGTCTGGAATCCTTGTTCTTGCTCATTTCCATAAGGTTAGTCTAGAACCCTAGATTCGAGTGAATGGGAATTACCCCTAATAGACGTTGTGAATATAAATTAGAATTACCATGAAATGATAAGTTATCGCATTGATTGATTAACGTAAATAAATGCTAAGATAATGCATTTTTTATTCATGAATTGATTAATTGATGGGATTGCAATGACTTTGGATATGGATGTTGTTATTATGATTATTTGAGTTGATCAATGTGGCTTGAGAAGAATATTATGCTTTGTCATTGGTTCTTTGACATATTGCATGGTATGCATTGTGATATCTTGTTAAGACATAGCAATTTGTGTGATGGATGTTCGAGTGTAGTGAATGACGAACTACGAATGACTTGATCCCTATTGAGGATATGTAGGCAGTCTAATGAGAAGGTTAGATGTAGCCATAAAACATACGAAAAATTACTACACAATTTGAACCTTGAGTGGTGTTTTATCCATATTCCGGAGTCGGGGTGTGTTAGATGTATGAGTAATTGGTGACGTCACGTGTCGATCCTGGACGTATGTCGAGATCGGGGTGTGACAAATGATACAAGGAAGAAGGACACTCAACCAATTAATCAAAAGACATCCAACTTTGCGCTCCAACGGTCAAGAAACTAGAAAGCTTTAGTTTGTTCAAACTTTACCCTTTTAGTCGGGGTCCACCATAGAAAGCCATATTTTGTCAAGTTTTAGAAGCTCTGCTACCTTTCCCCTGTATTGTAGTATCAAATCCCTTTAGTAAACACTATTTCTATTTTCATTCTCCAAAGATTACAACCCTTGTAAAAAACAAAGAGAAGTGGTTGCAAGAAGACAAACATTGCCTGACAAGGTCATGATCTTGCCTGAGTCTCTTTTGTTTGTGCTTACATAAAGTAGATCTGTTGTTTTATGCATCTTTCATTGTATCCTACATCATTTTTACTACTTTTTTTTTCAAAGTTTCATCTATGATTAATCTTGTTGAACTAATTAACCTTACTGCTTCAGTGTTAACCATAACCAAAGAAATAATTGGAAGGGCCTTGAACTCCCTTTAATTGGACATATGATAGTATGAGTAAAAGTCCTTGTTTACAAGGCAAGAAAAAGAACTTTATATAGACACTGCACTGACCATAGTAAACTCCATGTCGCTGTAACCTATCTGTAAACAATCCAATTGAACTAAGAAGTCTAAATAACTTGTGGCGCAAGTAATCAACCCATTTAATAACCAAAAAAGAACAATCTATTATACAAAGATAACAGTGGCACACTCAGACCCATATTAATTTTGATTGTGAGCCTCAAGGTGTAAAAAAGGCCCCACAAATGCATCATTCAAACTAATAACAAACTCATATTGCAGTACACCAAGTAGCAAACCTTGCCAGATAGGCAAGATCCAGGGGAGTTGTGCGAGGAACATATCTAGCTCGAACAATATTTGCTCAAGATTTGCTCTGGTGAAATATGCAAAGGGCAATGTCACTGTTATGTTTGCAGAAGGTGTTCATTTTGCTTCAAACTACTATATTTTTCTATTAATTTCACAGAAAAAATATAATGTTTCTTGAAAATATAAAACAGAAATAAAGAAAAGAAAATAATGTAATAAAATAATAATTTAATTTGACATATTGGGTGGAGCTCAAAAATTTAAAAGATGTTAAAGTACCAAGGGAGATGTTAAAATAATAATTTAATTTGAGATATTGTGCATATTTAATATTAAAAAATCTTTCTAACTTAAGTGTTATCTGTTGACTGAATTAAAAGGCTTTGTGAATAGGAGTCAAATTTAACATCAATGTCACATTTATTTTTGATTAATTTTAATGGTGAGTCATTTATTCCACTAACATTCCAACCAATAAAAATTTTGTTTCAACATTTTTTGTAATAATTACAACCATTTAAAACTCTATTTTAATAAGAAAATAACATTTGACAACTTGGTTGGAGAAGTATAAAATTTGACATAAAACTTCTGTTGGGGCAAAAAAATGTCACACACTAATCCAACCAAGTATGAAGACCTAATTGTCATGCAAAGCCTACATTCAAGCCTAAACACATGTCAAGGCACGAGATCTACGAGGAATATATTTACAAATAAGCCATGCCACGATGATTAACTGGATATCATGCCATGCTTCCTCATGCTAGTAATTATTCATGCTAAGCCCAAGACACATATTTGGGGCTTATCAAGTGGATTGTGGTGTGATGATTACAGATGGTTATTGGGCCTACGTGGAATCAGGGTCATGAAAGACTTTGGGCTACTTGGAGGCCCAAAGATCCAAGCTAATACCCTTTGCATTTCACGCAGGCATCATTGAGAGAGAACTAACCTAGTTTACCTCTTTCCCTAGCAAGTCATGCATTTAATGTATACTAAGCCTAGCAAGTCATGCATTTAATGTTGACTTTCCTTTCCCAGCTTGCAGAGACAACCAACGTGCGAAAGCCGTGAAGCACGCTACTAGAAGTAGTGTCTACGGAAGGCCGC